TTCTCTTCCCAATGTTCTAATATAGTTCTTGGTTAAAACACGGGGGTGCCTGGGTGGTTCAGTTGGTTGAGCAACTGCCTTCGGCTCAGGTCATGATCCTGGAGACCTGGGATCGAGTCCCACATCGGGCTCCTTGCTCAGCAGGGAGTCTGCTTCTCCCTCTGACCCTCTTCCCTATTCATGCTCTCTCTCTATCATTCTCTCTCTCTCTCTCAATAAATAAATAAAAATCTTAAAAAAAAAATCAGTGCTAGCATTACTAGGAACATTAAATATTGTACATTACTGAGTCAAGTAATATGCTTTGATTGCATGTCTTTCTTTAATACCTTCCCTCTTGGTTAATACAGTAACTGCATTTTCCCTTATTTGCTTTGTTTTTTTATGTACCTATAGCTAATTTTTTTTCTCTGATGTCCCAACAGACTTTTAGACATCTAACAGCAATTTTTTCAGATGCTCAAAATATGATATAATCTCTCAGTTCCAGTCCCCCATTCCCATTCCCTTGAGACAGTCCTCCTGCAGCTGTCTGTCCTCCTATATATGCCCTGATTGCTTTCTGGACTAGATACATAGCCGTCATGCTAAGGCTTCCTCTTGCCATTCTCCATTGTTGGCAACTAATTCCTGAGTCCCATGTCATTTTCCTTCATGGTTTATTCATATATTCCTTCAATTGGTTTTATGAATACTACATCCTCTAGTTGCTTCCTAAAAAGGGATACTTGTAAGTTAATATTTTTTATTCCTTACAGAGCTTAAAATGTCATTATTTTACTGTCACCTAAATGGTTAGGTATAGAATTCTAGCTTAAAAGTAATATTCCTTCAGAATATTAGAGTTATTTTTGCATTGTCTTCTAGTATCTGATATTATTAGATATTCAGAATTTAATTCCTTTGTGTGTGACCTGTTTTTTTCTATTTGGAAGCATTTATGATCTCTTGATGCTCTGAAATTTTTTATTGATGTGCCTAGTTCATTCATTGCTCTGGATTGTTCATTTATTTGACAAATATTTATAGAAAAAATCATTCTATACACACACACACACACACACACACACACGTTGTTCTAGGCAGTAGGGATATAGCAGTGAAAAAAATAGACAAAATCCCTTTGCCTCATGGAATTTACATTCTAGTGGTAAAGGCAGAAATTAAGAAATAAACTAATATATAATGAAATGTCAGATAGTGGTAAGGACTATAAAGAAATACAAAGCAGAATAATGGAACAGAGAATGGAAGGACAATTTTTTACATAGGGTGGGTAGGGAATGCTTCTCTGAAGTGACAGTTATGCAGAGACCCAAATGAATGAGGACATAAGCTATGTGACTCTGTGGAGGAAGAGTGTTCTAGGTTAAGGGAACAGCAAATACAAAGACTCCGAAGCAGAAATACACATGGAATGATGAGAAGCAAAAGGCCAATTTGGTGGCACTGGAGTGAATAAGAGAAAGCATGGTAGGAAATGAGGAAAAGGGTGGTAGGAAAGTGGATTTGTAGCCAGGGGCCAGGAAATTTAAGGCCTCATAGGACTTGATAAGGGCTCTGGAATTTATTCTAATGGAGTCTTTTGAACAAGGACAAACTTACATTTTAAAGAATCACATTGGTTGGAGGGTGGATCTGAATGGAAATTGACTGTCAAATTTGCAAGAATGTTAAGTAGTGAGACCATTAGGAAGCTATTTCAGTAGTCTAGGTGAAAGATTTAGTGGCTTAGACGTAATAACTTAGTAATAGTGAGAAATGGTCAGATTTGAAATACATCCTACAGGGAGAACCAACAGGATTTGCTGCTGGGTTGGATATGGGGTAAGAGAAAGAGAGGAGTAAAAGATGAATCTTTGGATTCTTGGCCAGAGCAACTTGGTGAATGGTGGCACCACCTAACTGAGATGAGGAAGACTGAGGGATTGTTTGGGAGATAGGGTGCAGGGGATTGAGTTGTGTTTTGGACATACTGGGTTTGAGATGCATGTTGACAGCTTATTGGAATTCTCCTTGGAGGCAGGTGGTCATCAAGTAGAGGGTTCACAGGAGAGATGGGGCCAGAGATAACTTTGGGAATCCTTCATGTACAGTTGGTATTTAATACCATGGTTCTGGATGAGTTCCCCTGGGGAGTGAGTATAGATAAGATAGCGATCTGAGGATGGAACTCTCGAGCACTCCAATATTTAGAATTGGGAAATGGAAGAGAATCAAAAAAAGAACAGCAGTGAGATAGGTAGAAATCCAGGAGAATTCATATTCTAGAAGCCAGTTGAAAAAAATGTTTCATGAGGAGGGCAGGATCCACTGTGTAAAATGTTGTTAAGAGTTTAGTAGGATGAGGACTTAGAATTGACTATTGGATTTGACAATGTGGAGTTTATTGATGGCTCTGACAAGCAGTTTCACTGAAGTATGAGTATGATTGGAGGGAGGCTCAAGAGGGAATGGGAAGAGCAGAATTAGAGAAAGAAAGTAAAGACAACTATTTTGAGGAGTTTTTCTATAAAGGGGAACAGAAAAATGGGATAATGGCTAGATGGGAATTGGGATGTGGAGTCAAGGAAAGATATTATTGTTTTGTTTTGTTTGTGGTGGGAGATAATAGAACAAGTTTGTCTGGTGGGATAATCACTGTAGCATAGGGTTTGGAATTAGGGGGTTGGAAGAGAGGAGAATATGAGAGAGATCTCTGTAAAATAAAATTGACTGGGGGCACCTGGGTGGCACAGTTGGTTAAGCATCCAACTTTTGATTTCAGCTCAGCTCATGATCTCAGAGTCATGAGATTGAGCCCCACGTCGGGCTCCGTGCTCAGCATGGAGTCTGCTTAAGGCTCTCTCTCTCCCTCTGCCTCTCCTCCTGCTCGCGTTCTCTCTTTCAAATAAATAAATCTTAGAAAAGAAAATTGACTGAAGTTTTAGCCCAGAAATGTTTTAGTAATAAGATTGCAGTGTGATACCAGCTTTTTCAGTTTGTAAACTAGTACCCTTCTGTTCTGAAAAATGTTCTTATATTCTGTATTTGATTATCATCCATACCCCAGTCTCCCTGTTCTTTCTGGAACTCCTTTAGTCATGTGTTGGACACTTGGACTGATCCTCTGATTGGGAGGATTTTCTCTCCGATTGTCCATCTCTTCCCTCAGCCTTATCTTCTAATCCTTCTGTAGAGTTTTTTTTTTTTTTTTTAATTTGAGCTATCTTACTATTTTAATTTTTCATAGCATCCTATCCCTTTTAAATGAATGCAGTAACTTCTCATTTAAGATATTAAGGTTTTTATTTGTTCTGTGATTTGTTTTCTTCTGTTCTCTGCATAGTCTCTGTTTCCTCCAAATATTCAATTATCTGCTTGCTTGCTTTGGTCTCTCTTTGATGTGGGAGGCTTTCTTCAAATGTCTGATGATCCTTGGCTGCCCATTTTTATTTGTGTGGGGCACTAAAAAGCTCCGTGTGCAAGAACGGGGCTTGTTACTGGTGGGCTTCATAGTAGGGTGAGCTCAAGGTCAGCTGGCTTTTTCATTGTCAGTGTGTAGAGCTCTTCAAGACTGTTGAGTTTTTTCAAAGAATGGGGATGGTAGGTATGTGCCTGAACAGAACAGGAGGAGGAAGATGAGGGCTTTATGTTCCTATAGGTAGACTGTTACTCAGTCCCCCTCTTTTCATTTTGTGCATTATCCCTGCCCTGTGCTTGATGCCTCAAGTGCAGAACATCTCCATCTCCATTTCTCCTGGAAACAACCCTGGTAGAATGCAGTAGTTATCCGGGCTGGGGTAGGGGTGAGGGTAGCCTTTTGTGCTACTTGGTACCTCAAAGAACTGAGACTCTTGGATTATTTAGAGCACATCAGCTCATTGTCATCTGAATCCCTCCACTCCTACTTCATAATCCACCCCATGTCCCATTAAGTCACTTTCCACTCCTCTGATAGCTTTCCATCATGGAAAGGCTGGGGCTTTCTTTTTTTTTTGTCATTGGAAAAGTCAGATATGCTAATGTAGTCTCTTCTGTTCACTTACTAATGGGTTAGTGCCTTTTTTTTCTTTATTATAATTTTAGTAAGGAAGCATGAAGAGGAAAAGAGGGTAAACATATGTGGTTAATGTGCCAGGTTTATCCAGAACCCATCTGCCTCTCTGAAGTGTAATCATTGCAATAATGTTTATTGAGTGCTTATTACTACATGCCAGACACTGTTTGAAGTATGCCAGACACTGTTTGAAGTGCTTTACATTTATTAATTCCATACTCATAACAATCTTATGCAATAGGTACTATTATTATTGCCATTTTACAGATGAAGAAACTAAGGCACAGAAAAGTTAACTTGACAAAGTTACACAGCCAGTAAGTGGGGGACTAGCATTCCAACTCAGCCGTCAGACTCTAGAGATACTTCCTGCTTTTAAAACTCTCCAATAGTATTTTATTCCTTGATTTCTAAAATCCACACAACTTAGCATGCCATTCCCGTTCTTCAGGATCAGGCCCAGCGTACCTCTCCAATCTCACCTCTCTCTGCTCTGCCCTTAACACCACCTCTTTGACCTTATATTCTAGCCACACTAAGCTTGCCCTGCATGGACAAGGTTCTAATGATCCTCATGCCTTTTTCATGCTGTTCCTCTGCCCCAAACATTCCTTCATTCTCTAGAATGCTCAGTACAATGTTAGGGTATTCCATTTTATTAAACTGAATATTTGCATAATTTATTTTATCTAGCAATCAACTCATGCTTTTGATTTGATTTAGCATGTCTTCTTGAAAAATGTACAATTGAATAAAATAATAATATTCCATTATGTGTGAAGGGTTCATAAGTCTAACAGACTAACTGAAATTCTCTCCTTTAAATTTGATTGTATGAGGGGCACCTGGCTGACTCAGTCAGTAGAGCTTATGACTCTTGATCTCAGGGTCATGAGTTCAAACCCCATGTTGGGCATAGAGATTAGTTTAAAAATAAATTAATAAAAGTGAAAGAAATTAACTGTATTGAGAGTGAAATATTCTTTTGGAGTGTAAGTGAAAAGGTATATACTTTAAATAGTAAGTAAGTTCCATTCATTTGTTATTAAAATGTTTTCTAACCTTATCTTGCTGTTTTTAATAGCCTTTTCTTCCTCTTGCAAATTTGGAGTGTTCACCAAACATCGAAACTTTCCTTTGCAAAGCTTTTGTACCAGCCTGCACAGAACAAATTAACGTGGTTCCACCTTGTCGTAACTTTTGTGAGAAAGTATATTCTGATTGCAAAAAATTAATCGACACTTTTGGTATGCGATGGCCTGAGGAACTTGAATGTGACAGGTAAATTATGTTTTCAACTGAAAGCTACCAGTGATCTTCTAATGTTGATAGTAGTTTTCCAGAATGTTCGTGACAGGCTTTCATTATTTAACACATGTTTATTGCACACTTAACATGTGCCAGCCACTGTGGCGACAGTGTTTTGGACACAATGGTGAGCAAAAACAGATTTGTGGTGGGAAGGTACAGTGGGGTGGGAGGAACAGATGGTAATCAAATGATTATAATAATAAATGTAAAATTATAACCATGCTAGATACAACAGGGAGAAGTACACAGTTCTCTGAGAAGATGTAAGGGTGCCTTTGACCCAAACTGGGGGGAAATGAACTTATTATCAATTCACTGACCTTTTTGCACATTGACCTTGGCTTATTACTTTCATCTCCTATTCTGTAGACATTGGTGGATTGTAATTTGAAATATTCTACTGATATAATGAGACTTCACATGATAAAGCTGGGAAGGAAGCTGTGTCTATCTTTTTGTGTCTTTATTTATAGACTAAGTATAGAAGCTTTGTAGAAGTCATATACTTCTGGTGGATAATCGTTTTCAGGAACAATTGATAATATATAGTAAAGATGAGGATGCTCATACCTTACACTCTAGACAATCCCCTTCTATAGCAACTTTTACACAAATAAGGAATCATGCTAAGAATACTGATTGCCACATTATTTCTAATTTTTTTTAAAAAGGGAAAAAGTGAAACTCCAGTGTAGAAGAATGACTAGTAAACTGTGATGTACTTACACACTAGAATACCATGATACAGTTGATAAAATTAATGTAGTTGATCCACCTCTGTAAACATGGATAAATCTAAAAATTATAGTGTTAAGTTAAAAAAGGATGCTACAGGATCATATATATAGTATGATGTCATTTATATAAAATTCAAAACCTTCATAAAACAGTATTATATATAACATTATGGTTAGAAAGTCACATAGTAAAAATTTTTTTAAATGCATAAGGAGAATAAAAACTGAACTTGTACTAATGAGTATTTCTGGGGTGAGAGCAAAGAGAATAGGACCAGAAAGGGGTCCCAACTGATCTCTACTGTTATATTAGTTATTTTAAAAGATATAAAGCAAAACTGACATAATATTACATTTAAAAAATGCTGGTAGATACACAGTGTTCTTTTTATGGGCATACATTTTAATATTTGCTACTCTTATCTATATCTAAAGCATATTTTAAACGTTTTCTGCTTGGGGTGCTTGGCTGGCTCAGCTAGTGGTGCATGAGACTCTTTTTTAAAGATTTTATTTATTTATTTGACAGAGAGAGACACAGCAAGAAAGGGAACACAAGCAGGGGGAGTGGGAGAGGGAGAAGCAGGCTTCC